CACCCCGGGCCCATGCCGGCGGCGGAAGCAGCGGTTGCCGCGGGGCACCTAGCAACGCTGATGCTCAAATAATTGTGAAAAATGTCAACGAAGTTAAAAGTGTTCTGCCCCTATTTTCAATAGTTCTTAATTAATGGCTTACAGCATTTTTATATCCTCAGCCTCAACTATTTATCTAGGAACTTGGGAACCTCTTTTCCTAGAGATTTTCTTTCTGGGGTACGGGAGGCAGGAGGGGAGCCTAGTAACAACGTTTAGCTTTTTGCCCTGAAAACAACGGAGGAAAAGATATATTTAAATTACTTGCATCTTTCTGTGCCTAGTGCTCCAATATTATAATTCTAAGTAGTAGAATTCAGTACAGAATGAGACATTTTTCTTTAGTGCAAACATTACTGTCATGTTTTGTCACCTTAAGTACATTACTATGTCAGGAGCGAATAAAAGATTTAGATTAAAGTGTGGATGGTTTGGATAATTCGATTCCTGAGGAAATTGCATAATACCTGCAGGTAGTAATTCCCATCCTGTGATGCTGGGTTATCTCCCCCGAGACGTCCTGAATTTCCACTTCTAGTCCAAAAAGCCAGTCTTTAAATTTAGTCCAGGGATGTGTAAAATGAAAAATGTCATTTAAACCTTTTTTTGTTTTTTTAAGTAAAGGAGGAAAGGGGGATTATATGAGAAGAAAATGCCTATAAATTCACCAGGAAACCAAAAATAAACGAATCACCCCAGTAAGTACAAGTTCAAATGCGAAAAGTGCTTCCGAGTTCGTGCCACAGGGTGTGGACTTAATCGGTAAATCCCACGCTACACATCCGTGCTCCTAATCCACGAACTGTCGGTAGCGAGTTTCAGATGCGACAGCCTGAATCATGAACTGCACGTCGCTCTCGGAGGCGAAGGGTTTTTTCGGTCTGAGTGTGTGCATTTCTGATGGTATGGTTACTTTTTTGTCTTTGCATAAAAATCACAATAAAATCACATTTAGGTTAGAGAAGAAGCTCCATGACATAGAGCTCGTCGTATATTCAGAAGAAAAGTGAGACGGTCGCTTTTTGGGTGAAGGACCCGAAGGAGAGGGACACACAGCATGGTGACCGTGGCTGGCAGGGCTGCTGTGCATTTCAGAGCTGCTGAGAGAGATCTCAAAAGACCTTCTCACGAGGAAAAATGTGTAACTGTGTGACGTGATGGACGTCAGCTAGAATTATCGGTGATCATTTTGTGATATATATAGATATTCACCATTATGTGATACGCCTGAAACTAATACATCGTGTCAATAATACCACAAGTAAAAAATAATAAAATAAAGGAGATAGATTATGCATGATGACATTTCTCTAAATCTCTGTGCGTTAGGAAATCAGATGCTTATTTTTCTTTTCACCCCAGGAATGTCACTAATTCCTCGGTGCCTGCCTTCCTCAACATCTGCATCTATCAGAGCTGAACGGGGGCTCCGGCCACCGCCTCTCCTCGCCCGTCCCCGCAGACGGAGGGCAGAGCTTCGGAGGGGTCATCCAATCGGCCCAGGCCCACTCACTGCTCGTGCCAGTCCGTGGGTCGGCGGACAAGCGACCGGGTGGCATCGTCGAGACTCCAGAGGAAATCTGGCCTCGCTTCTGACTCGTTACTGTTTTATCCGTTGGGCCGCAGAGAAGAACCACGGCCGCTGAGAGTCGCCAGCCCCAGTTCCCGCCACATCCGTCCCCTGCCTCGAGGGTCTGCAGACCCCCGGGCCCACGGCGGAAGCTCCCGGCAGCCCTCCTCCTTGCCGTCTTTCCCCACGCGCGGAGCTCTGCGCACACGCTTCCCGCCCGCACCTCGGGAGCTGCACACCCGTCCTGCGGAAGGGCGGCTCAGCCACGCAGCCGGAGGGAGACTTCGCGTCAGCCCCGTGCAGAAACCTGGGGGCCCGGACACTGCGGTCACTTGCTGCCAGACCGGCCCACACTACTGGGGTCGGTGGGAAGAGCTCCTAGATCAGCGACCTGGGGACCAGGGAGCAACATTGCTCGTCCCGCGTCTCCTCTGCTTGACACCGCGAACGTGAGCACGCAGGGGGGACCTGACCTGACCTGAAATGACCGCTCCCCGAGCCTGCAGTGAGACTCGGGCAGAGGGAGTCACTGACTTCCGGTCGGCCTCCAGCCATGACTTCAGTCCTGGCCTCTTAGCCAGCTGCCCCGTGGTTCACCAAAGAACGCACAGTGAGTTTGGGGACACTGGCGATGGGGCAGGCCACTTCTGGGGGGTGGAGGTCAGGCGAGGGGCAGAGACGATCAAAGAGATGTTTTCCAAAATTAGAACACGCACGTATTCCTGCGAGGGGAGATCTAGCTGAAAAGATGAAGGAAAAATGCGCAGAAGAGGGAAGAGGGAAGAGGAGAGGTTAAAACGGAAATCCCGAGAGAAACCATCACCGCTCCCGGTCCTTTATGTTCTCCGAAGATGTCTGGGAACTGATGAAAATTACTGATGTCGAAACTTTACTCATCATTATGGTAGATTAAAAAGTAAGATGATAAATTTAGCTTATGCTACTGAAAACTGAGATGCAAATGTCTGAACATTTAGAATATAATAAGCAAGCTAATTAGAGATTTTGCCACTAGAAGGAAAACAAAATGACACGGGAAATTTGGTACCTATAAAATTTACAACACGGAAATTACTTTCTGAGTAAGAAATTCCTATTAAATATCTATATTATAAGTAACTAAAAAAGAAAGTTAGGTTCATCCATCTCGGATTTAATTAAAACTTTTTAAAAATAGATTTGTTATTTGAAAATGAGGCTTTCTTAATTATATCAGTGACATCTGAATTCACGACCTCCTTTAAAAAGGCAAAACAATTATGGCCATGTAAGTACGTATAGTTTCTTATTATACTTACTAAAAATTCAGAAGTCTTAAAGGTTTTAAAAGTTTACAACACTGTTGGTGGGAATTTATTTTTAAATAATCATTTCAAATGTGATTGTGGTCATATTTCGATTTCTGGATTTATAATGTTTTTAGATGCCATTTTAATATATACATACTCTATATATTATGTATATTAATTTATAGAGTTGATATTTTTACTTTATATGTAATAAATTACATATCAGTTATATAGCACATATATGGTATAATATATAACTATAGCATAAATAATATGTATCCTATATATTGATTTCTTCGTAGATGTAATGTACAATTTTTTCACTAACTAGGCAGCGCTTCTGGACGGTCGTGCCTGGTCGGACGCCCGGGCTGATGTGGCTGCTGCACAGCAGAGGGTCTGAGAAGGCAGCGTCTCCGCACTGGGGGCGCTGCAGCTTAAGCGACAGCATGCGCCCCTGTCGGGAGTGAGGGGCACGGGCCGAAGGCCAGCAGCCCGCGCTGCCGGACGCAGGGCCTCGGTCCTCCAGGATCGGGCACTGCTCTTTTCCCGTGTGGCTGATCCCGGCGATTTAATTTGCGTTTCTCAGGAGGGCACGAAAGAAGGGGGAGCGAAGGTTCAGGAAAGCAGAGGGGGGTCGAGTACGAGGACTCGAGGACTCGCCGCCCGCACGATTAACGGGGGCCGCGTGATGCCGCTGTCACGCTGCAAGGAGAAAAGCCTGCGCGGTCCCTGTGCCTCCCGCCTGCCTGTGTCCTAAACGCAGAGCTGGGGGCAGTTACCAGCTTCTCTTCACGGGAGGATTAAGTGTTCCCAGTAAAAACATTATTTGCATCTCAATAGCGCTAATAGCTGTTTTATGAATAGTGAGGACAATTTGTTCGGGAAACCTGTACCCCGCGGAGTCCTGCCGCCAACATTTCAAACTGAGCAATTTATTTTACATCCTTGACTTTTTTTTTTTTTTTTTTTGCAACCCTTGCAATTCTTTTGAAAGCTTCGGTCTTACAGTCAGGAGACTGTGGCCAGATTGTTAAAATATTCAGCTGCCCTGGCACCGCTCCAGCCGCCGGGAAGGGTTTCTCATCGTCAGCAGCTCCGGGCGGGAGCAGCGAACAATCGGGCTCTGCTCCCCGGCTGTGCTGGGGCCGGGCGGGGGGAGGGCCTCCAGACAACCAGCCCCCCGTGCCAAATGGCACGGAAGCGCCAGGGCGGCTCCACGCACGGATGGCATGAATCCCTCCGGCTCTCCCTCGCAGGGCGTCTTGGCGAATCTAATGTCGGAGGAACACGTCCCTCCGCGCGCGGGACCAGGGCAAAGGACTTCCCCGTTTTCTGTTCCCCCCAACCCGGCTGGTGACACGGCGATGGGACAGGCCTTGGGAACGGGGACCTTCCCGCATTCGCTCTGAGCACAACTGGTGCCTGAGCGTTTACTCTTCCATTAACTGACACACTGGGCCTCGACGTGGGCGCTCCCTGTGCGAAGTGAATCTTGAAGAAGTGAACTTTATCGGAATGTAAAGGAAAGCCCTAGGGTGCCAGTCTCAGAATGGGGGCCTGAAAGGGACAATTCCCGCCAAGCCGGAGCCCACACAGCACTCGGCGAGCAGCAGCCTAGTAATCATTCTATCAGCTGGATCGAGACCGTCAGCGGCACCACGCAGAGGCGGCCTGTGCCACCCAAACCCCCAGCGAGAGCCGGGGGCCTCTCCCTCTGCCCAGAGGTACCCCGCCACGGACGTCTCGCAGCTCCCCCTTTTTTAAAGGATGAAATCGTTGCCTACTTATTTCCGTAACCCCACACGCAATGGCGTGGGCTTGCAGAGAGATGACTTAAACGTACGCGGTTTTGCACCTGTGGGTGGAGAATTCATAGTTATACCTCAGTCTCCTCTTCCTTCCCCGTAAGCAACGTGTGGAACATCGTCTGGATCACAGACGTGGGCAAAACAAGAACGTGTCCGGGAAAGGCCCAAGGCAGCCATGAGTCTCGCTCGCTCACTTCTCTGGCGAAGACTGAGGCACCGAAGGTGAAGCGGGTTCGCGGGGCGCACGGCCCAAGCTCCCCCCGGGCCGCTGCCGACTGCGCGTCACGAGGAACGGCGTCCCTCACGATACGGTGGTGAGGGGCCCCGGTGAGTGGCCATCTGAGCGACTCGGGGGAGCCGTCTGGGCTTCGTCCCTAACGCGAGCTCATTCCTTGTCACGTGTCCCTCCTGTGTGGCTTCGTGGGTGGGTGACAAAGCGGATTGACGGCGTGCGACACAGCCCAGGGCGCCCTGGAAGCGGCTTACCTGTTCTCACGCGCGCCCTGGGGCGGGGCCCCCCCCACGCGTCGGCGCCCACGTTTGGAAGCAGAAGGAAACGAGCCCGCGCGGGGCGGCCACTGTACCTTCCACGGTGACGCGGAAGTCGTGGCGGGCGGTGCCCAGGGAGTTGCTGGCTGCGCAGCGGTAGGTCCCTCTGTCCCCGTAGGAGACGTTCTCGATCTTCAAGGTCTTGCCGTAATTCTCTTTAGTTTCTCTCCCTTTTGGTAAATCGCCGCCCATTTTTTCCCAATCAACCTGTGGAGTTGGTCTGAGAAACAATAAATAAACGACACACGTTTTTTAAAAGTAAAAAAATAAAACATGAAAAAACCCACGGGACACACCCCTTAGCGCGTCATCTCCACGTGCACCCCGAGACCGGCCGTGTAACAGCCACCCTCCCGGGCGTGGGTGACCTGCCACCACCGTCAGTGTGACCCCAGGGCTGGGCAAGGTCTTGTCCCCACAACCCCCTCGAATGGTCCCCTCCTCAGAAATCCTGCTCTTCCGTTAAGGGGGCTGACCATGGCGAGTGCTGGGCGGGTGTGGCCCGATGAGGGACGGGTGACCGGGTGAGGGACGGGTGACCAGACGCCCAGAAATATTACAAGGGGAGTGTCAAGGGTGAAATCTCCCTGTGGCTGGTGGGAAGTGGCCAGAAGTCACTGCGTTCTTCCCTGTCCACGTCTGGCAAGCAGGGTAGAAGGGACCCGACAGCCACCGAGGGAAGCCTTGGGGTCCTTTACTCCCCGGAGGCTGGCACTGGAGGACACGGCTCGGGGAGAGGGCCACGGAGCGGGCGGACGCAGGACACCGCGCTGGGCCCCGCAGGCCTGGCTGCCCAGGAGGAGCCAGCACCGGTGGGAGCAGAGGAAAGCGGGGTGAGCCGGATCTCCCCTGCTTAGAAAGACTGCATCACCCCATCAACACGCAGGAACGAAAGGCCGCCGCAAAGCACACAGAGAGCCGGCGGGTACCTCGGCACCACCGGGCGCTAAATCTCTCCGCCTCAGGCAGGGGCGGGAGCGACGCCTGCGGGGTTCTGTCGGGGACACGGGGCGGGGGCAGGACAGGGCCCTCCGCGGCTCCTGGGAGCTCAAAACCGTGTGGGAAGCTCTGACGCCGATGTGAGCGGGTGATTTGTCACGGCTCCCTCCCTCTGGCTGGGCTGCGTGGCTGGGGCAGGGACCTTCAACTTGCTATTTTTGTCGGTGCTGCTTTTCTTCCCTCACTAGGTTCCTTTTATTATCGACAGGGACGCGTTCCCGGGGGCGCACTGGAGATGGCTGTCATGACAATCGTTTCCCCAGTGAGGACTCTGAACCCCCCAGAAGCTGATTAACTGGCTTCAGGTCTTTGGGGTGAAAAACAACATATTAGAACTTCAATTTGTGAGTGAACTTGCTACTTTTGTCATTGTGCTGTTAAATTGGTGCTTTTTCCATTCTTCTTCCTTCCCACGTGTATATTCTTGGAATACTCACGTGTGGCCAAATTAATGCGTCGCTAGTCAATAACTGAACAATTAACCCGTAGCGTTTGCTTCAACTATCTCCAATTCCGTATCGAAGGGCAATGGCTATGCAGAAACGCACTGGAGGTCGAGATCAAGCCCCTTCACTGACGCACATTCACACTGTACTTCTTGCCTCCCTGAGGCTCAGACCCAGGCCCAGGAGCTCACACCCCATCGGGTGTGGGGCACGGGGGGCCTCAGCGAAGCTCCCAGACAGGAGGAGCGCCGGCCGCCCCCAGCACACTGCCCAGCACGCGGCCTGACCCACGTCTCCCAAGCGAGCCGCCTGCTTTTCACTCCATCCGTCCAAACGGCCATTCGCCAGACGCCAGGCCGCTTGGGCCCCGGCTCCCCGCACGCGGGCGCTTCTGCTGGCCCTCGAACATCGGGCTCATCCCCCAAGACCCACGCTTGGAAGGACAGAATAAAATGATTATTTTAAGTACCAGGCGAACGTGAGCCATAATTTATCTAGGGACATCTGGACCATCGTGCGAACGCCCAGCTCTACGCATGTGGTCACCCCACCCCCGTTCACACTGTCACAGCCGACAGAGCGATCCCATCGCACATCGGTCTCGGCCACAGCCTGAAACCTGCAGGGCGAGGCGCCGACTGCTTCCTGCGGGCAGGTGGCCACGCGGCCGCGTCTGCGGGGTCGCTGCGGGCGCGTGTGCAGACCCACCCGGGCCGGCGGTGCACCCTGCGGAGCCGTGCGCAGTCGGGGGCGGTACTCACAGGCCTTCCGCGAAGCACTCGAGCAGCAGGGCGTCCCCCTTGAGGACGGTGACCGAGGACGCGGGGCCCCGCTCCGCGGGAGGCAGCAGCAGCCTGGGCCTTCTTTGCTTGATCGAGTTCGCTAAACAGAAAAGAGAAATCACTTCTGTTTCACACACTGAGAGAGTCAAGTCCCGGGCACTAAAGCTTTCTTAAAACGTCCTTAAAGACAGGCGCCGTGCGTGTGCGTGTGCGTGTGCGTGTGCGTGTGCGTGTCTGTACAGATGCACACGTGTCACTTATTTTAATAGATTTCCGTTTACACAGACGCCACTTAGCCCGCAGCGTGGACTGTCTCTCAGATGCATCAAAAGGGATGGCACCAAGTTTCATGACGCTTCCGAGGACCGCGCCTTCAAATCGGACGTTCAAACACGGTTCGGGGAATTTGTGTCTTCACGAAAGCGCTGGTGAACTGACAGCCTAGGCTTTCTGTCCCCACGGTGCCCACGCCTGGCCTTGGGCGGTGGCCACGTGTGTCTTTCACCTCACGAGCCCCGGTCCTGGATAAGTGTCCCGCCGCGGGCAGCCCCCGGGGCCCCGCACGCGCAGACCCCGGTTCGGGAGCCGGTGGCGGACACCAGGCGCCTGTGGTTGTGGAGGTGGCTGCGTGCCGCCTCAGGCCCCGTGGGAGACGCCGCTGGCGGGAACCGGGGCCCCCGCTGAGCACACGGAAATGCCCCATTTCTCACTTTCCTCGGAACCCCCTTCTCAAACAACGGGGAACGAGGACACCCCCAGGTTCAACGCAACTTTGGACTCTAGTTCCAAACACTCACGTAAATCGTTTGTCCACGCGACGTCACCGCAGCGTGACGTGGTGTGCACGGAACAGGCTGGCGCCCCGCCACCCGAGCAGAGGGCCACCAGGCGTGCTGGCCGTGTGCACCTGTCACGCCCTCTCCAGTGCTAATCGGAAACGAGCTGGTGGCCACGTGCCATTTTTATACTTAATGTAATTAAATGACGATTATATACTATGATTGCTATACACTAATGTTACTATATAAAGATAAATAAGTTATTGAAATGATCCTTTTTAATGCTGGGGACGTAAACTTCATCAGTCCACCTCCAAGGTGAGGGTCACCAGGAGGAGCCCTCGCCCAGCCCTGCTGTGTCACCAGAGAGTCAGACACTGGACTGAAGCCACCAGTCCCAGTGGCATAAAGACCCTTCACGTAAATGACCCTTCTCATTACGGGAGGTGAGCTTGCTACACGTGCAATTCAGGGGCGTTCAGGCGTCGTCCACAGACACCAGCCCTGGCAGACGTTCCATGGAAAAGTACAAAGCACTTGACAGACGAGTGAGTTTGGAAAATGCTGCAAACTGTTTTCTTCCTCAGCGTTATGACGGACACGTCCGCGTTTCGCATTCTGGGAAGTCTTGCAAGAAAATCACCCTTTAACTTGCTTAAACCCAACTCTCTCCGCTTCTGCTGACACTTGACCACGGCTTTTTATCTTTCTGCATGTAGCAGCTAGTCACCAAGAGCGAGGGACATTCGGGGAGACCTAAAGCAGTTACGCCATTAAAAATGTGTGGTTCCGTGTGTGTCTGTGTGCGCAGTTGCATGTTAATTATGTTGTATATAAATGTATATTTATACAGTTACGCGTATGTAAATACACTCCCTTTGCATACGTTTAAGGTGTGAGGGGGTCATAGGCATCTCTAGGCTAAGGGATTTTCCTTAACAGGAAATTAGGCATTTTAATACACTCACACGGGTATTAAAAGAAAAACTCAACTTTTGAGATGGCGATGAGCTAACTAAAGGTGAAAATGAATATGCCACACTCTACAGGTGATCAACTTACCCTCGGAACCGATTCCTGGGGATGAACTTGAGTCATTAGCATGCTTTACTGAAATAAAAAAATGGAAGAAAAAACTCACGAACACAATGGTAGATGCCGGAATCAGTGAGGAATGAAAAGTCACAGTGGCCGCTTAGGAAATTACACAGTGCAGTCTAAGCACGCTTCCCGGGAACACCGTCTTTGTGGGTGCAGCGGAAAAGCATTTACTCGCGAGCGGCCACGGCCGAGGCCAGTGGAGCAGGTGGAAGTCACAGCTCCCTGGAGGGTGGAGGCTGCCAGAGACTCCTGGGGAGCCCTGGCGGCATGTGACACACACACACACACACGCACACGCACACACACACTGTGGGGCGACGTCGTGGACCCCGAGGCACCGGGGCGGTGATGCCGCCTCTGTCTGCCCCGCACCCTATGGCTGCGCCCCCCGCGCGGGACCCCGGAGTGGCCTCTGCGGGATCGAGCAGGGCAGAGAAGCCCCGTGAGCGGGTGTCCGCCGGGGAACGGCTCGCTGGGGACGACAAAAGCCGTCTGTCCTGCTGCTGCTTTCTGTTTTGACTCTGCCATTTCCCCCCGCGTTTCCGGCCCGCGGGATGCAGGTCTGAGACCTGTGGGCCCCCGGGACATGGGCGTGCGCCCCCCGCCGAGGGGATCGGACCTGCGGACGGACGCAGGGGCATGTGGGCTGAGGTCTGGGTCTGGCAGCGGACAGGCGGCTCTCGCGGGGTGAGGTGGCCGGGGCGGAGCTAACGCGGGCGGAGCACAGACGTGGGCCTCAGTGCGGGACGGCGCGGCGCGGGACAGCGCGCTCAGGCCTGCGGCACTCACAGCTGCGGACGGTCAGCTTCATGGGCATCTTCTGCACGATGGTCCGCAGCCGGGGGAAGGCGGCGAAGCAGCAGTAGTCGCCCCGGCTGTCCCTCTCCTCCACGTTGGCGAAGTACAGGTCGCCCTGGCGGCTCACGTGCACCCGCTCGTCCTGCTCGATGTGCTCCAGCTCTGGGGGGAAGCGCAGGGCCGCTGAGCGGGACGCCCCGGCTGCGCCTCCTCCCTGCACGCGGCTCCTGCGCCCCGCCCGCC